AAGCTCATCATAACCTCAAGATTATTAGTGTTTCCCTATTTGGCAAGAACCAAGTCAAGGAGGTTATTTCCCCTAGTTGGCTCTGTCACAAACTGTTTTAAAAAACAATCCTGGATCGTATCAAGAAAGTCACCTGACTCTAAATTTCCTGTCAAATTGCTCCAGTCAATCTGTCTAAGTTGAAATCTCCCATTAGCACAACATTTTCGTATGTAGATGCCTTACGAATTTCGTCCCATAAAAGTTTACTGCAACTCCCTATCAAGATTTGGGGCCTGTAAATCACACCCAAAAATAGTTTTTCTCCGGCCCTCGAGAGCTGTAACCAAACAGATTCAGTGGCTGACGCTTCTAATTTAATATCTTGTCTAACACAACAATTTAAATTGTCTCTGACATACATCGCTACTCCACCACCTTTCCTGTTGACCCTGTCAGTGTGGAATAATTTATAGCCTTGTATGTGACATTCAGAGGGCATCTCTCTATCTTTCAGATTGAGCCAGGTCTCTGTTATAGCAATAATATCTATGTTTTCCTGCACTTGCAATTAATCTTAGCTCATCTATCTTATTTCTTACACTCCTGCTATTAGATAGTAAACCTTAAGGGAGCTAGTCCCTTGCTGCCCTCTGCTGTCCCCCTTTGTTTGCTGACCTGATCTATTGTCTTTATTTATAACTTCATGCTGAATGCCTTTTATACATTTACTGTTTTCCAACCCAAGTGTTGCAACCTGCTTGTTTCCCACACACACCCATACCTCTATCTTCCATCAGTTTAAAATCATAGGCATTTCACCAATGGCCTTCTCAATCGAGTCTGCAAGTGCTACCACCCCAGCCCCAGAGAGATGTACCCCATCCCTTGCATACATATCATGTTTGGCATAAAAGTTGTTCCAGTTGTCAATGAATGGGATTGCAAGTACCTTGCAGTATCTGTCTAGCCAGCAATTTACACCAATTGCCCTAGACAACCATTCATTTCCTACTCCCCTTCTAGGCAAGATGCTACATATGATTGGGATCCCTCCCTTAGACTTAATGAAATCTATAGCTGACCCTGTACTTATCTAGCAGCTCTTCTCTCCTACCTTCCCAATATCATTTCCACCAGCACTGATACAGATAATGGGCTTGTTCCCATTACCTGACATGATATTATCCAGCCTGTTGACAATGTCCCCAACACCAGCTCCAGGGAAGCGCACTCTCTCATCTTCTTATTCCTATTACAAAAAGCACGGTCAATATATCTTACCTGAGAGTCACCAACCACAAGAATGCGCTTACCTCCATTAGCAGGGGCAGTAGTACCCTTACCTTCACTGGCCACTGAAGTACATTCATCCTGAAGAACAGAGAAGCGATTTCCTACCTTCAGATCTTCACTCTTAACTTTCCTTACTCTGATGCGCCTTCCATTACTGTGAACCACTCGCCACTTGTAGCAGGTGCTGGGCTGCACCTCACTGCTGGTAGCCGTTGCTACCTCCCCACCTACAGCCTCCTCACAGCGAGAGACAGACTGCACCTCACTGCTAGAAGCCTCATTCCCCACAACTCCAGCCACCTCACACTCTCTCCCAGACCCATTGAGGTGGACCTTCAGCCTCCTAATCTCCTCCTGGAGAAGCAAGACCTCCTCCTTCAACTCTCCAACCTCAATTTTTAAAACACTGCAGAAGCAAGCCATGCTTTGTAACCGTCCACACTAATCCCCAAAGCAGCTCAGGGTCTGTGACCTCACGTGACGACTGACCACTGAGTACTGAACATCCCATTGACACCTCTGTGTCTTCAGCTTCCAACTGTGTCCCCTTGATCCTGGTCCTCTCAATTCAGTCTGTTCCTATTTGCCCTATCAGTTCCTCTTAAGATTTTGTATGTAGTAATCATGTCTCCCCCTTGTCCTCTCCTCTTAGGTGGTAAAGTTCAGTTCCCTCAACCTGTCCTCACAGTGCATTCCTCTCAGTCCTAGCACTAGCATGGTTGCTAACCTTTAGACCTTCACCAGTTTCTTCACCTTGACCAGTTGTGGGGCTCCATGCTGGTGCCGCGTGCTCAGACACTGACCTAACATATATCATGTATAAGGTCCTGAAGGATTCTTTATTGAAGTTCCTGAATGCTATTCTGAGGTGTGTTAATATTGTATATGCCGCTGATTTTATACGGTTTATGCGTATTTTTGGTGATATGCTTGGTGTTATGTTCACCCCCGGATCCTCCTCTCACTGATATTTGCAGCTTCTCTCTCTCTGTTCTCTCCAAGACGCGTGACCTTGCATTTATTCTGGTTAGAACTGTCAAGCAACTTGTTTGACCACCTCTCTAGTGTGTGTGTACTTACCTAGTTGTGGTTGCAGGGGTCAAGTCACAGCTCCTGGCCCCGCCTCTTCACTGGCCGCTACTAGGTCACTTCTGCTCCATGGGCTTTATCATACCTCTTCTTAAAGCTATGTATGGATCCTGCCTCCACTATATCACTTCCCAGATTATTCCCCTTCCTGACAACTCTGTGACTGAAGAAATACTTCCTAACAGCCCTGTGATTCATCTAAGTCTTCAATTTCCAACTGTGACCCTTTGTTGCTGTGTCCCATCTCTGGAACATCCTGTCTGTGTCCACTGTCAGGTCGATTTCCCTTAACCTCTCCTCGTAGGATATACCCCTTACCTCCGGGACTAGTCTTGTTGCAAACCTTTGCACTTTCTCTAGTTTCTTTACGTGCTTGGCTAGGTGTGGGTTCCAAATTGGTGCCACATACTCCAGTATGGGCCTAACGTACACGGTGTACAGGGTCCTGAACGATTCCTTATTAAGATGTCGGAATGCTGTTTTGAGGTTTGCTAGGCGCCCATATGCTGCAGCAGTTATTAAGTTGTGTGCCTCAGATGTGCCTGGTATTATACTCACCCCAAGATCTTTTTCCTTGAATGAAGTTTGTAGTGTCTGCCCCCCCCTAGACTGTACTCCGTCTGTGGTCTTCTTTGCCCTTCCCCAATCTTCATGACTTTGCACTTGGTGGGGTTGAACTCCATGTGCCAGTTGCTGGACCAGGCTTGCAGCCTGTCCAGATCCCTTTGTAGTTCTGCCTGGTCCTCATCCGATTGGACTTCTCATCAGCTTCACATCATCTGCAAACAAGGACCCTTCGGAGTCTATTCCTTCCATCATGTCGTTCACGAATACCAGAAACAGCACCGGTCCTAGGACTGACCCCTGTGGGACCCCGCTCGTCACAGGCGCCCACTCTGACACTTCGCCACGTACCATGACTCGCTGTGTGTGTGTGTGTGTGTGTGTGTGTGTACGTTTGTATTTGTGTACGTATTCACCTATTTAAGGTTGCTACGGTCTAGTCTCAGCTCCTGGCCCCACCTCTCTGCTGGTCACTACTAGAGCCACTCCTGGCTGCGGGAGACATATCATACCTCAATACCGACAAGTTGAAGAATTACACACCTATGCAACATCTGAGTATTTGTAGACGTTTCGCCCACTAGTGGCTTTATTCTTCAGTGCGAAACTTCGTCTTAAGTTCTCCTGTCATGTCGCTAACATAACACAAGAAACAGTACTGGTGCAAGTACTGACCCTTGTGGAACCTCAGACTAGTGTTTGTGAATATTTTGGCTTAAATATCAACGCTCTTCTTGTCGAATAAGGCAAGCGAAAATTTGTGTATGCAATAATTTCGCAAATATCATTCTGAACCTAACGAAAAAAAATATATTTTATTGTATTTGTTTATTATTAAATTATTGTAGACTTATCTAAAATATATTTAGTCGGGTTAGGCTAAATTAAATTTAGCTTGTTATAATAAGGTTAGGTAAGTTTTCTAAGGTTTCTTTGGTACAAAATTATTAATTTTTACATTAACATAAATTAAAAATGTATCTTTAAATGTATAAAAGATTTTTTTTAGACAGGATTTAAATTTTAAAGGAATTCTTGCTAATTGACCAGTTTTACCTATTCGGTTATATATATATATATATATATATATATAATATATATATATATATATATATATATATATAATATATATATATATATATATATATATATATATTACACACACACCGATAGAGAGAGAGCTCCCTGACCGATAACACTAATAATATTTTTGTTCTCAGAAGCAATTATTAAGAATATTTATCAATTCTAAATGACAGCTGTAGTGACAACTGTTGATGACCTTTAAGAAGAGTTAAAGGGTTAGGTAAGGAATTACCGCCTCGAGGCCTCCATCAATAAGGAGCGAGGACAGGTAGTGACGTCAGAGTAGGCGGGGCAGCTGGGGACCTCTCGACCAATCAGTCCTCTATCCACGTTCCAATACTCAGGATCGAACGTAAACAATGAATATTGCAATATTATTGACGTGAGTTCACCTCAGCGGTGACGTCAGTCTTTGTCAGGGTCACCTCAGTGCTGACGTGAGTCATGTTAGCTTCACCTCAGCGCTGACGTGAGTCATGTTAGCTTCACCTCAGTGCTGACGTGAGTCATGTTAGCTTCACCTCAGCGCTGACGTGAGTCATGTTAGCTTCACCTCAGCGCTGACGTGAGTCATGTTAGCTTCACCTCAGCGCTGACGTGAGTCATGTTAGCTTCACCTCAGCGCTGACGTGAGTCATGTCAGCTTCACCTCAGTGCTGACGTGAGTCATGTTAGCTTCACCTCAGTGCTGACGTGAGTCATGTCAGCTTCACCTCAGTGCTGACGTGAGTCATGTTAGCTTCACCTCAGTGCTGACGTGAGTCATGTTAGCTTCACCTCAGTGCTGACGTGAGTCATGTCAGCTTCACCTCAGCGCTGACGTGAGTCTACCTGCCCTTCTATATAAAAACATTAAGTAGAATAATAATAAAGAATTTCTTGAACTACCAACTTATATATTTTTATTATTATTTATTATTATTATTATTATTGCTATTATGATTTTTAGTGCTATTATTATTGTTGTTATAATAGTTGTTGTGGTCAGTAGGTGCCAGGTGGTGGTGGTGGTGAAGGGCCACTATGGACACGGCCTCCATCGACAACTTCTGGTGTGAGGTACGTCAATATTTCTCTCCCTCTTACTCCTTTTCCACTCTCTCTTCCTTTCCTTCCACACACTCTCCCTTCCCTCCCACTCTCTTTTCCTTCCCTTCCACTCTCTCTTCCTTCCCTTCCACTCTCTCTTCCTTCCCTTCCACTCTCTCTTCCTTCCCTCCCACTCTCTCTTCCTTCCCTCCCACTCTCTCTTCCTTCCCTCCCACTCAACGTTCCGCCAGTGTAAACACCCTCTGTTGCACATATGTCTTACCAACATTTTTAAATGGCTAGGTTTACATAGAGTACCCATTATTCTTTATGAAGTTTCCTGAAATATAGTCTGGTTCTGCTCGATGGTGTCTGGATGGTGGCAGCTTCAAGACACCTTCACCTGGTCCCGTCACTCTCCCGGGATCACCTGTGTCTTAACCCGATCCAGGAGATGTGAGTGCCAATTTCTAGGTAATTTTTTTTTCAAGCATTTCCCGACTCTTCTACTGGGATGACACACCAGGAGCTGTGACTCGACCCCTGCAACCACATATAGGCGAGTACACACACACACACACACACACACACACACACACACACACACACACACACACACACACACACACACACACACACACACACACTGTAATGAGGGGCCGTTCCTAGGATTGTGGGGGGAGGGGGTGTCCCAAGGTGGTGGGGGAGCGGGGGGAGGTCCACTTCTCTTTCCTCGAATTGAACCTTTCTCCAGGCGCTGTATGACCCCCCTACAGGTTTATCGCTTCCCGTGGTTGTGGTAACTAAGATGACTTTATCAGGAATGTTACCCAGTGTGGCTTAGTAACCCAGGATAACCCAGTGTGGCTTAGTAACCCAGGATAACACAGTGTGGCTTAGTAACCCAGGATAACAGTGTGGCTTAGTAACCCTGGATAACAGTGTCTCTTAGTAACCCAGGATAACTCAGTGTGCCTTAGTAACCCAGGATAACAGTGTCTCTTAGTAACCCAGGATAACTCAGTGTGCCTTAGTAACCCAGGATAACAGTGTGGCTTAGTAACCCAGGATAACACAGTGTGGCTTAGTAACCCAGGATAACAGTGTCTCTTAGTAACCCAGGATAACTCAGTGTGCCTTAGTAACCCTGGATAACACAGTGTGGCTTAGTAACCCTGGATAACACAGTGTGGCTTAGTAACCCAGGATAACACAGTGTGGCTTAGTAACCCAGGATAACACAGTGTGGCTTAGTAACCCAGGATAACACAGTATGGCTTAGTAACCCTGGATAACCCAGTGTGGCTTAGTAATCCTGGATAACCCAGTGTGGCTTAGTAACCCTGGATAACACAGTGTGGCTTAGTAACCCAGGATAACCCAGTGTGGTATAGTAACCCAGAATAACCCAGTGTGGCTTAGTAACCCAGGATAACCCAGTGTGGCTTAGTAACCCAGGATAATCCAATGTGTCTTAGTAACCCAGGATAACCCAGTGTGCCTTAGTAACCATGGATAACAGTGTGGCTTAGTTACCCAGGATAACCCAGTGTGGCTTAGTAGCCCAGGATAACCCAGTGTGCCTTAGTAACCCATGGATAACACAGTGTGACTTAGTAACCCAGGATAACCCAGTGTGGCTTAGTAACCCAGGATAACCCAGTGTCTTAGTAACCCTGGATAACACAATGTGGCTTAGTAACCCAGGATAACCCAGTGTGGCTTAGTAACCCAGGACAACCCACTGTGGGATAGCAACCCATTATAACCCAGTGTGGCTTACTAACTCTGGATAGCACAGTGTGGCTTAGTAACCATGGATAGCACAGTGGTTTAGTAACCCAGAAAAACCCAGTGTGGCTTAGTAACCCTGAATAGCACAGTGTGGTTTAGTAACCCAGGAAAACCCAGTGTGGCTTAGTAACCCAGGATAACCCAGTGTGGTTTCCCTCTGATGTTTAGGCCCTCCCCCAGGGTGTCACCCAGGGCAGCCTGCTAGCACCAGGATTGAACCCGGGTTCTTTAGGCTGAGAGCCGAGGACTGTCACTTGCGGGGGGGGGGGGTGCTGGTGGCAGAGGGTGCTGGTGGCCGGGGGTAGGGTGGTGCTGGTGGCGGGGTAGGGGTGTGCTGGTGGAAGGGTAGGGGTGCTGGTGGTGGGTTGGGGGTGCTGGTGGCGGGATACATGGGTTCTGGTGGCAGGGTAGGGGGGGCTGGTGGCGGAGTAGGGGGGTGCTAGTGGAGGGGTAAAAGGGTGCTGGTGGTGGGGTAGGGGGTGCTGGTGGCGGGGTAGAGAGGTGCTGGTGGCGGGGTAGAGAGATGCTGGTGGCATAGTAGGGGTGTGCTAGTGGCGGGGTTGGGGTGTACTGGTGGAAAGGTAGGGGTGTGCTGGTGGCTGTGTAGGGGGTGCCGGTGGAGGGGTAGGGCTGTGCTGCTGCGGGGTTGATGGGAGTTCTTGTGGCGGGGATGGGGGTCCTGGTGGCGGGGGTGGGTGTGCTGGTAGCGGGTAGGGGATTGCTGGAGGCGTGGTTGGGGTTCTGGTGGTGGGGTAGGGGTATACTGGAGTGGTAGTGGGGTTTTAGTGGCGGGGTATGGGTGTGCTGATGGCAAGATAAGGGGGTACTGGTGCAAGTTAGGGGGGTGCTGGTGGCGTGGTTGGGGGTGGTGGGGTAGGGGTGTGCTGGTGGCGGGGTAGGGGTATGCAGGAGTGGTATGGGTGTGCTGGTGGTGGTTTTACTGTTATTAGGGTGGATGGGTAGGGGTATTTTGGTAGCAGGGTAGGGATGTACTGGTGACGGGATAGGGGGGGTTCTGGTGGCCGGGGTTGGTGCTGAGGGGGTGCTGGTGGCCGGGGTTGGTGCTGAGGGGGTGCTGGTGGCCGGGGTTGGTGCCGGGGGGGTGCTGGTGGCCGGGGTTGGTGCCGGGGGGTGCTGGTGGCCGGGGTTGGTGCTGAGGGGGTGCTGGTGGCCGGGGTTGGTGCTGGGGGGGTGCTGGTGGCCGGGGTTGGTGCTGAGGGGGTGCTGGTGGCCGGGGTTGGTGCTGGGGGAGGTGCTGGTGGCCGGGGTTGGTGCCGGGGGGTGCTGGTGGCCGGGGTTGGTGCTGAGGGGGTGCTGGTGGCCGGGGTTGGTGCTGAGGGGGTGCTGGTGGCCGGGGTTGGTGCCGGGGGGGTGCTGGTGGCCGGGGTTGGTGCCGGGGGGTGCTGGTGGCCGGGGTTGGTGCCGGGGGGTGCTGGTGGCCGGGGTTGGTGCCGGGGGGTGCTGGTGGCCGGGGTTGGTGCTGGTGGCCGGGTTTGTGCTGGGGGGGTGCGGGTGGCCGGGGTTGGTGCTGAGGGGGTGCTGGTGGCCGGGTTTGTGCTGGGGGGGATGTACTGGTGGCCGGGGTTGGTGCTCGGGGGGAGGTGCTGGGGTTGGTGCTAGGGGGGAGGTGCTGGTGGCCGGGGTTGGTGCTGGGGGGAGGTGCTGGTGGCCGGGGTTGGTGCCGGGGGGTGCTGGTGGCCGGGGTTGGTGCCGGGGGGGTGCTGGTGGCCGGGGTTGGTGCTCGGGGGGAGGTGCTGGTGGCCGGGGTTGGTGCTGGGGGGAGGTGTTGGTGGCCCGGGTTGGTGCTCGGGGGGAGGTGCTGGTGGCCGGGGTTGGTGCTGGGGGAGAGGTGCTGGTGGCCGGGGTTGGTGCTCGGGGGAGGTGCTGGTGGCCGGGTTGGTGCTGGGGGGGAGGTGCTGGTGGCCGGGTTGGTGCTGGGGGAGGTGCTGGTGGCCGGGGTTGGTGCTGGGGGAGAGGTGCTGGTGGCCGGGGTTGGTGCTCGGGGGGAGGTGCTGGTGGCCGGGGTTGGTGCTGGGGGGGAGGTGCTGGTGGCCGGGGTTGGTGCTGGGGGAGGTGCTGGTGGCCGGGGTTGGTGCTGGGGGGAGGTGCTGGTGGCCGGGGTTGGTGCTTGGGGGGGAGGTGCTGGTGGTCGGGGTTGGTGCTGGGGGGAGGTGCTGGTGGCCGGGGTTGGTGCTCGGGGGGGAGGTGCTGGGGGCCGGGTTGGTGCTGGGGGGGTGCTGGTGGCCGGGGTTGGTGCTCGGGGGGAGGTGCTGGTGGCCGGGGTTGGTGCTCGGGGGGAGGTGCTGGTGGCCGGGTTGGTGCTGGGGGAGGTGCTGGTGGCCGGGGTTGGTGCTCGGGGGGGAGGTGCTGGTGGCCGGGGTTGGTGCTCTGGGGAGGTGCTGGTGGCCGGGGTTGGTGCTGGGGGAGGTGTTGGTGGCCCGGGTTGGTGCTCGGGGGAAGGTGCTGGTGCTGGGGGAGAGGTGCTGGTGGCCGGGTTGGTGCTCGGGGGGAGGTGCTGGTGGCCGGGGTTGGTGCTCGGGGGAGGTGCTGGTGGCCGGGTTGGTGCTGGGGGGAGGTGCTGGTGGCCGGGGTTGGTGCTGGGGGAGGTGCTGGTGGCCGGGGTTGGTGCTCGGGGGAGGTGCTGGTGGCCGGGTTGGTGCTCGGGGGGAGGTGCTGGTGGCCGGGGTTGGTGCCCTGGGGAAGGTGCTGGTGGCCGGGGTTGGTGCTGGGGGGAGGTGCTGGTGGCCGGGGTTGGTGCTGGGGGGAGGTGCTGGGGGGAGGTGCTGGTGGCCGGGGTTGGTGCTGGGGGGAGTGCTGGTGGCTGGGGTTGGTGCTCGGGGGGAGGTGCTGGTGGCCGGGGTTGGTGCTCGGGGGGAGGTGCTGGTGCCGGGGTTGGTGCTGGGGGGGAGGTGCTGGTGGCCGGGGTTGGTGCTGGGGGGGAGGTGCTGGTGGCCGGGGTTGGTGCTGGGGGGAGGTGCTGGTGGCCGGGGTTGGTGCTGGGGGGAGGTGCTGGTGGCCGGGGTTGGTGCTCGGGGGGAGGTGCTGGTGGCCGGGGTTGGTGCTCGGGGGGAGGTGCTGGTGGCCGGGGTTGGTGGGGGGGGAGGTGCTGGTGGCCGGGGTTGGTGCTGGGGGGGGAGGTGCTGGTGGCCGGGGTTGTGCTGGGGGGAGGTGCTGGTGGCCGGGGTTGGTGCTCTGGGGAGGTGCTGGTGCCGGGGTTGGTGCCCTGGGGGAGGTGC